TGAATGGCACGATTAATGAGTATATTTAATTGATTTATTTTTTTATTTTTATTTTTTTACCTTACTAAATTATAAAAAATTTAAAAAGAAAACTTAATAGATAAATAGTACCATATCCATGATTTWATTACTAAGGGGGAAATGTGGATATTATAATAAGTGATATCAATCTGTATGAATACATCTTTGTATTAAATACTGAGATTTTCAGAGGGTCACATAGTTCTATATCAAATATTGTAGAAATATTTTCTGACTRTGATAATATTATGAGTACTCATTAGTAATTATCATTGACTTATGATTACTTTAGAACACTTAGAAACACACTACCATTTTTTAAATGTATTATATTCATTCAGGTAGAACCAACATTGGAAGCTACAGAAAAAGTAGTTAGGTTCATAGCAAGACCACAAGAAACAATATTTGGAACAATGTGGACAGTTGGAAAAAATGAAAATCATAAGGATCCAGCATATTTAAATGTTCCATTAATAGTACACAATGATAGTACATATTTCAATGAAAGTACTGGGTAAAAATATAGAATGAATRATCTTAATATTGATGACTTAGATTTTTCTAATTTATATAAAATAAGTACCTAATTTCATATTTCAGTCTTCAAGTATTTCATATGTTGGAAAGGGGCATTAACTGTAAAGGAGGTTTAAGTACTTTAGTTGATGGGTTTAAAGTAGCAGAAATACTAAAAAAGGAAAATCCATTACATTTTAAAAATCTTACCGAAATTGAAATAGAATCTGAATATATAGAACCGGGTTTTCACTATAAATGTACAGGACCAGTTATAAAAATTGATTCTAAAACAAAAGAAGTATATCAAATAAGGTAAATATTCTATTTTTTATTTAATATTATATAATTGAGCAAMAATAATGACGGAGGTGTTAAAAAAACAGATTCAATATATACGATCGTAGCGCACTACCACCATCTCGAGTAGATGAGTTTTACAAAAGTTATGCTCATTTAATAGAAATATYAGAGAGAGAAGAGATGTATTGGAACCATTGTTTGCAGCCGGGAACTGTAGTGATTTATAACAATTGGAGAATGTTACATGGCAGAACATCTTTTACAGGGAAACGGATTTTTGGAGGATGTTATATATCAATGACTGAATTTTTAAGCAAAGCAAGGACATTAAAAWTAATATCATAATATTTATCACAACATAATGTAGTCAAATTATTTAGGAATAATACTGTTAAGAGGATATAATACTAGCATTTGTTGTCTTTGTCTTACAAATGCATAACAATACACATTTAAACTCAGCAGATYGTGTAGTGTATAGCTTTGTTAGTTGAAAAATCAGTGTGAATCAATCTTTTATGAAACTTGATAATGAGAACAGTATCTGTGTTTGTAAATGAGTTAATAACCATAAACAATAATTAAGTTTTTAGGTGAGGTAAGAGCATTTTTAATTTGTTTTATATTATAAACATGAAACTTGCTAAAAAGCTGAAGTACCGTAAAAATACATAGATAATGTTCTTACTCTCAAGTTTCATAAGAATATGAGATGTCGATTCACATTAATTTTTAAAGTAACAAAGATACACATGATCTGTTGAATGTAAATTTGTCATGTTATTCACTTGTAAGACAGAGACAACAATTGCCAAAGTTAGTCTTATATTGT